CTATGAGTTGGAAACGACTCGACGGCACTTAACAGCAACAACAACAACATAGTAGGCAGACTTTCTCCCACTGAATCACCAATGTCACCTCTCACCTACTTAGGTAACAATACCCTGTATTTTGTGTTCATGAGTCTATTGCCTTTTGTTATAGTTTACTACCTATATATGTATCCCTGAAAAATAAGATTGCTTAGGGGCCAGTGACTGTGCTGATGGTGATGGAATAATTTAGAAAAGGGTATCGAGACTGGGTACACAATTTGAATAATGTAAATAAACAGTGAATTGTACATGTACAATTTATTGAAATGGCACATCCTTTCCTGTGTATATTTTCACAAATTTTTTTTAAATAATTGAAGCTCAAGGTCACCAGAGTTTTACAGATGTCCTCAGGGAGACCCTGGCTTTCACTCTGACTTCCTTCCCAGGGAATTTCACTCTCATTTCTTTTATGGCCCCTGTGAAAACTTACATTTTTTTCTTGCCAGCTTAGTGAGTTATTTTGACATATTTTTAAAAACAGTAATTCGGCACTTTTAGTTGTTTGCACGGGAAAGGTTGTATATCATACTACCTATGATGGAATTCATTGTGTTTCTTTTTCATTGTTCTTGTTTTCAGTAATTTAAACTTTGAAAAAGCAGGGGGGTGTACTGGCTTCTATTTCTCCTAAGTAACTAATCACTGGACATGTATAAAAATAAATCTCAATGTTTGTCTCCAGAGATATGCCCACACACAAATAATCTGCATAAAAATGGGTCTAGTAGGTATAATTGCGATTGCTTCTGAGTGAGAGTTTTTTGTTAGTTGCATGATTTTATTTTCCATAATGAGTATCTATTGCTTTTGTAATAAGAGAAAACAATAAAATTCTTATGGGAAAAAATATATCATGGATAACAAATATATTTGAACCAACAACACACAGAGTATAAACAGGTAACTATTACGTCGTCTCTTGCATGTAGCGATTTAATTATTTTGGGTAAAGAAATTTTCTAGACAAACTGAAGCATGCCATTGTCAGCACTAGATTCTACTTTCTTTCAGCCATTTTAATAGTCACACTGATTTTGTCTGACCAGCAATGGGTTTGGTTTTGGTCATATACATGGCACATTTCCCCACCTTGTTCTTGCAGTCCTGAGAGGCTACATGTTCTTGTGGACTATATTACACTACACTGAGTAGTCCCAGACTGCTAAATGTAGTAGATTCATTTTCTGTACATTAAAAGCATAAAATATGTTTATGATAGTCATTTTCTTCAACCGTACACTGTAACAGATTTTCTTGAAGCTCCTTTAATTGGCCTCTTAATAGAGAAGTCAGGTAGAATAATCACTTGATAAAATAATGCATATTTTAAAAATATTATCTTCTTTTTAAGGATAAGGAACATCCAATATATCTGATCCCAGAGCTTTGCAAACAGTTTTACCATTTGGGCTGGGTCACTGGGACTGGAGGAGGAATTAGCTTGAAGCATGGGTAAGTTTCCTGCTGATTTCATTTCTGGGAATTTTCCATATGACTAGACCATGGGGAGTCTAACATGTATTATATCCCAAAACAACTGGTGATCAGCTTTATGTGATACTCAAGGTATTTCATTTCTAAAGGGAGGAATGAATATTTGCCTAACTGAATGAAGTAAGTATGAAGTTGCAGATAAAAATAATTCAGTCCTCAGTCTTTGGAGTACCAAAGTTAAATGACATGGTGCTAAGTTTATTCATCTGTCTGGAATTATAAATGGATCCCCTCTAGGTAGACACAATTTGTTTCAAAGGTTCAGATACATATTTAGAAGTCACTTAAACATAGATTCATTGCTGTTGTTAATTGCTGTAGAATCAGTTGCAACTCCTGGTGACATCGTATGTGCAGCAGAACTGCTCCATAGGGTTTTCAAGGCTGTGACCTTTTGGAAGCAGATTGCCAGTCCTGCCTTCCAAGGTCTCAGTGGGTTCAAACTGCTAACTTTTCGGCTAGCAGTCGAGTGCTTAATGATTTACACCACCCAGGGACTCCTAAATATAGATTACTAACCATTAAAGTCCTAAAAATTATGTTTTATTGAGTCAAAAGGAAGCAATATGCCTTTCTAAGCATGTGTCATTATTAACAGACATAGCAGATGTTAGTCTATAGTTCTCTGAGAACAGAACAAGAGGTACTAGACCTAAATCATACAGAAGGAATAAATAGCATTTAAGTGTTCATTAGATTTCATCAGTCTTCCAAAAGGATGAGGAAATAAGTAACCAGCTAGTAACAAAAATACTGCCACACTAATAAAGTTTCTGGAATCTCATTCTTTCAAGGGAGTCTGGAATAGGATTAATGCTTTTCCTTCTTAAATATTTTAGGAATATTAATGTCTAGAGGCTGAGTGTTAAATGGAGTGACTGCTGATTGATTTCTTTAATGCCGATTCACTTTCTTTCACAAAATTGGGTTACTAAAATATTTATATGCTACTGGGAGCTCCAGTGGCACAGTGCCTAAGGCACTTGACTGATACCAGAAGGCTAACAGTTCAAACCCACCAGCCACTCCTCAGAAGGAAGGTTGAGCAATCTACTTCCATGGTGATTCCACCTCGGAAACCCAAGGAGGGGTCTCTATGAGCGGGGATCAACTCGATGGCAATGAATTTTAGAGTATATATAGTAATGCCCCCACGGAGGCTGCATTTGCTTGGTAAAGAATGGAATGTGTTATCAGAACATTTTGAAAAAAGGGCATCTTATGGCATACCATGAGATGATGCCATTATAATTTCGTGTGGCTGAAATTGCCAGGTAACTCAGGCAATATTAATTAAACAGCAGGAAATGACAAGCGGGTCAATAACTAACACAGTTACAGATGTAGGGATGCACTCAGAGTCTAGGAAGGTCATGTTGCATTTACCCGTTGCATCTGTAAATCCATCGCTGGCTATCTACGTTACCTTCAACCTTGTGCGGATGTATCGAGTAGCAGGTGCAGGCTTTCTGATCGTGTTGCCGAACTTTCAGTTGGCCTATATACAGCAAAGCACTATGATAAGGGTATTTGTTTTTGTTACTATTGCTGCTACTACTGCTCCTGCTTTTTCATTTATCCATTTAGAAGTAGACTCACAGTAATTCTAAGTGATATGATTTTCTGACAGTATTATTTATATTAAATCGTGTCTTAAATGCAACCTTTGGTTAACTACATTTTATTTGCATGTGCTGAAATAGTGTGTTTATATACAAATAGAGCTTCCTACCAAACTGAGCTAAAATAAAAGCATTTCTAACTGCATCTTAAGGAAAAAAAAACAGTGAAGTGAAAAATAGGAGACTTCAGATTAGAGTTCAGTGAAAATCTGAAGAGGAAATTTTTTTGATCATAAAGATATAGAGGACTATGGTAGTTATATTTGTGTGTCAACTTGGCTGGGCCTTGTTGAGTGGCTGGGCAGCTGGTGGTAGTTACTCCCCATGATGAGATAGGCAGTCAACTCCATGGTGGGATCTACCACAGGCAGCTGAGTAGCTGTCTTTGGGATGTGGTCTGCTTCCCGTATATAAGGAGAAGCCTTGGGAATGGTCTCTAGCCTATGGCACGCTTGAACCCTGCATGTAGCTGTGTTGTTGCTTAGCAGCCTCTATGCTCTGCCGACCTTGGGGCTTACAATGGACTTAAGTTAATGGCTTGCCGTGTGGTTTGGTAACATCGGGACTGTGCCTTTTTACTTGTCAACCTTGGGTCTTCTCAGCCTCAACACCTAGCAGCTGTCTGAGTGAAGAAACACCTCTAGCACCAGCGTGCTTGGAGCAGGAGGCAGAGCTGGACCCCAAGATTCAGGGGCACTCTGAGCCTGGCGCTCTGAACTTGAATTTAAAGCCTCCAAATTGTAAGAATAAACTCCTGTTTGTTAAGGCCATCCCATTTGTGGTATATTTCCTATCAGAGTGGCACCAGGTAACCAGAACAAGGACTATGTTGTTTCTAGCAGCATTCACTAATCCATGCACTGTGATTGTGTGTGGCTGCCATAACCATTCACTGGAGCACTTTTTAAAATTAAATGGCTTTTATAGTGTTTAAATCAGTTTATAGGAAAATTGTATAAATGTGTAAAATGCTTTTTCTTTAGTCAGACTCTTGATGGGTAAGAAGTGCCTCCTGGAGTTCATTGGTGGAAAGAGCCAGTGTTAGGACACTGCACTTATAATCTTATCAACTGGGTGTTTTGTGGAGTAAGATGGGTATTTTGTAGTAAAATGTTGAAATTTTCTCCTAATATTTAAGTGACTTCATAAAGCCACAAGAGTAATATCAGCAATATCATTCTAATGTTGTTAGTAGAAGTTTGTTTTTCTTTGATGGTTAGACCAAATAAATTTGGAATGAAGTGTAAACCCAATAGCTTTTATTTCTAGAATAATACTGGCCGTACTCTGCTTGTATGTGGGTACAAATGATGTTAATAAAAGACAGCTTGAAAACACACACAAGAGCCACTGAATTCCACACTGAAATGTAAAAATTCTAACTGAAAGACTGGTGGTTTGAACCTACCAGCTCCTCCACAAGAGAAAGTGTCAGTCTGCTTTTATAGAGATTACAGCCTATTACAGCCTTATATAGAGATTACTCTGGGACAGTTCTACTCTGTCTTATAGGGTCAGTGTGAGGCAGAATTGATTCGACGACAGTGGGTTTAATTTTTGGTTTTGGATCAGTCGTTTTTTTTCTAGACCTTAATTTATCAATGGAACATTAAAGGAACTCTGATTTCACCTTACGGTTACATCAGTACTAAGTTTATAGGTTAACCACAACTTTGACAGCTCAAATCAGTATAGCCCATTACCCTCTTTCCACTGTCCAGTACTTGGTTTTCATTCAGTGCTTCTATTGTCTCTGACTCAGTGGTATCAACTGAAACTTTTAAGTGAACTAAAGGACTTCTGTGGAAGGTGGAGAGAATTTAGGAGAATATTTTTAATTTATTTCCAAATCAAATTTGGGATCACCTTGTAGTAAATGGTAGGATATATCATTCCGCCTAGTACAACATTCTGCAATTGAGGATCTCCACATGTAGCCATTACTTTTCTATTTTTAACTTTTTATGATTGTTTTAATTTTATTACCAAATATTTTCACAAGATATATCTGCTTTTCAAATAGGCAACATATTGTGCTATCCTAAAGTTCTAGCCAAACATTAATGCTGTAATTTAATAAACTCTCCAGTAGGGGTCTCTGAAGTTCATGTTTTAAAATATGAGCATTTTTTAAAACAAGGAAATTAAACCTGATTACATGACAGAAATCTACTCTTATGAATTTTATAAAAATGGAATCTCTTCTGATGGGTGTATTTTAAATATAAACAATATATAATATGTATTTTATATATGAATTGTGGGATAACATCAAGAACATCAAGCATGAAGAAAGTAAGAGGTCACTAAAAAGATGAGAAAGGAAGACAAGACCAAAATGGATGTCAGAAGAGACTCTGAAACTTGCCCTTGAGCAGAGGAGTAGCTAAAGCAAATGGAAGAAACGGTAAAAGAACTGTACAGAAGATTTCAAAGAGCAGCTCAAGAAGACAGAGCCAATTATTTTAATGAAATGTGCAAAGACTTGGAGTTAGAAAACCAAAAGGGAGGAACACACTTAGCATTTCTCAAGCTAAGAGAACTAAAGAATAAAATTTAAGCCTTGAGTTGCAATATTGAAAGATTCTATGGGAGCTCTGGTAGCATAGTGGCTAAGATACTTGCCTGCTAACCAGACGGCTGGCAGTTCAAACCCACCAGCCACTCCTCAGAAGGAAGGTTGGGCAATCCTACTTCTGTAGTGATACTGCCTCGGAAACCCAAGGAGGGGTCGCTATGAGTCGGGTTTGACTCGACGGCACATAACAACAACAACAACATGGGCAAAATATTGAATGATGCAGGAAGCATCAAAAGAAGATGGAGGAAATACACAGTCACTGTACCAAAAAGAACATGTCAATCTTCCTCCATTTCTGGAGGTGGCATATGTTCAAGAACTGATGGTACTGAAGGAAGAAGTCAATGTTGCATTGAAGGAATTGGTGAAAAACAAGGCTCCGGGATTTGATGGAATACCCATTGAGATGTTTCAACAAACAGATGCCCCACTGGAGGCACTCACTCAGTTAAGCCAAGAGATATGGAAGACAGCTACCTGGCTGTCTCGACAGCAGTGGGTTTAGTTTTTGATAAAACTAAGAAATTCATAAAAGAATCTTTTATGAAATGTGAGGAAATAATTTTAACACACCGATCTTGGAATGGTGATTTCTTTATATGCTCTTTTTTTTTTTAACCCAACAGGAGATTTTATTAAAGAGGCGAAAGGGTGCCTGCACCAAGGAAGGACAGAAGAAGAAGAGGAGGAGGAGGAAGAAAGAGGAAGAAGAGAAGGGAAGAAGAGAGAGGAGGAAGAAGAGGAAGCAGGGGAGAGGGTGGACTTATATAGACCTGGGGGTTAGGAGGTTGTACATCAGAGCTGGGGGAAGAGGTCTTAACCTATCAGAAGCTATGTTGCCTTTTAAAATCTCAGTTTCGACTTCCTTTAACTGACTTATGACCTTGGGGCAGCGGGGAATGAAAAAGAACCCGGAAGAGCCACGCAAGATGGTGTGGCATATCTCTAACATTCCCCCTCTTTAGTTGCTTAAAAGGAAAAAAAAGAAGGGCCCGCTTTTGTGGGAAAAGGGGCGAAGGTCAGTCTTCTGGAGCTGCTTCCTGCTAGTGAGGGGCACAGCATCTTTGGAAGCGGGGCCTTCCGTCCATCCATGCACGAGTTTGTCTCTTGTAGTGCCAAAACCAGTTTTCTTTTGCTTCAACTTCAGAGGTGCTGTGTTGTTTTGCCTGGTTGGTGATTTGTAGTATGTAGAGGTCCTCGAAGAAGCGGCTTCTAAGGGTGTCGTCGGCTGGACATGTTTGGCGTCTGGTGTTCTGGGACCTGTAAGACAGGCTGGGTTGCAATGATTAGGGGAAGGAAGCGAAAACAGGGAAACAGTGAAGCCTAGGTGGCCAAGGTATCTTATTAGTTGTGTGGTCTCCATGAGTGCAAGGGAATCTCTTCCAGGTCTTTGGCTTGAAGGATCATTTGGTTTGCTGTCTGTTGCGAAATTTGGGTAGGTATCTGGCAGACCCATGATCCCTTAAGTCCCGGTGGAAAGATTCTGTCGAAGGACCAGTGTCCCAGTCATTTTGCCAAACAAGCCAGGACCTCCTCACAGGTCTGAGTATTGTAGTCCCACTTTGGGTCTTGATCAGGGACAGCGTCCACGCCTGCTGGGTGATTATTGTTTGTGAGGTGTTCTTGATCTGCATGGGCACGGGCCTGCTCCAGCACTCTTTTGTTCTCCTCAGGGGTAAGTGAATTGGTTAGGACAACAAAAATATCATGATAGGTTAGCTGGTATGATTGTGTCAGGAATTGAAACTGTTTGATAAAGGTTGCGGAGTCGGAAGTGAAAGATCCAAGCCTAGACTGAATGAGAGCCAGCTCAGCCATTGGAAAAGGGGTATGGAGTTGAACAATTCCCTCAGCTCTGGCAACCTCTCACAAGGGCGCCATCATGTAGGCAGACTGAGAAACTTCAGGGTCAGATGACTTATGGGCCTTGGAGCGAGTGATGGGTGGAGTTGGTGCACAGGGAGGGGCGGAGGGAAGAGAAGGAGGAGGGGAGGGAGTGGGAGGCTCTTGTGGGCTTGGGGGAGATGAGTGAGGAACTAGAGCCTGGGGTGGAGCTGCTTGTGGCTCTCCCCGATAAGGAGGAGGATCATCTGCTGGTCGAGATGGCCGACAGACTCGAAGGGGAGGGGATTGTTGATTAGCTAGCGAGCAGAGGGAAGGTTGACTATGGAGAGAAGAAAAGCCTTGAATGTGGGGAATCTCTGACCATTTTCCTTGGCGCTCACAAATGTTACACAGGTCTCGAATAAGACAGTACAAGTGAGCCGTTAGGCGGCCAAACGTTTTGGTTGTCCAATTTATTTAGGGGCCAAATTTGAGTGGACAAACATATGAGACACTTGGGCTTTAAATCTAAGCCTTCAAGGTTCCATAACAAACACCCCAGGGGTTAGTCTGCGATTATAGAGGATCCAGAGCCCATGGTGACCAGAAGCAAGACAAAGGGCGGCACCTATAACTAAAGACGTCTCTCAAGGTACAGATCACGCGCCCCAGCTTAGGACCCGGTCCTAAGTATGGAAGCCTAGACTCCTCGTGGAGGCATCCCACCACAGGGAGAGGGCTTGAAAATGGGGGCCACACCACCTTCTGAGGCGTCCCTGCAGTGGGTGGGGGCAGGACGGGCAAGTCCCGGACTTGTCCCGGTGAGTCCCAGACTCACGGTGGGGAGACACAAAACCTGGTACCCGGTTAGTGCTCTGGAGTGGAGTCTTGTTTTTCTAGTCACCAGGACTTAGGACTAAGATACCTGAGCTGTCGTTAGAGGACTTACCCAGGCCAGGGCGAAGGTGATGATTTGCCGGTGTTGTTTGCTGGGAAGGCGCCAGGGAAGATGGTCGCAGGTGCTGGGGGGCAGGTCAGAGTGCCAGGGGAATGGGGGGTTCTGGACCCTCCGATGAAGAATTGGGGGCACCAGTAATCCCACTTCTGACTCCCATGTTAGAGCTCCATCGGCACTCAACGACCACGCCACACACCAGGGTACCCAACAGGAGATTTTATTATTATTAAAGAGGCGAAAGGGCGCCTGCGCTGAGGAAGGACAGAAGAGGAAGAAGAAAGAGGAAGAAGAGGAAGAGCTTTATATGCTCTTTCTAAAATATAGTTGCATCTGTTGTCATACCACCCTGTACACACCCTATCTCGTCTGAAGTATAGTCAACAGAATTAGAGAGCAGAGTTAAGAAGCTGAATTGATGGAATGACAGCAAATATGAAAGAAATCCATATTTGTACCCATTTCCAAAGAAAGGTGGTGATCCCACAGAATGTGGAAGTTATCTAACAATATCATTAATATTGCATGCAAGTAAAATCTTACTGAAGATAATTCAAAAATGGTTGCAGCCGTATATAGACAGAGAACTTCGAGAAATGCAAGATGGATTCAGAAGAGGACATGGAATGAGGGATATCATTGCTGATGTCAGATAGATCTTGGTTCAAAGCAAAGAATACCAGAAAGATGTTTACTTGTGTTTTATTGACTATGCAAAAGCATTTGATTGTGTGGATCATAAAGAATTATGGCTAACATTGAGAAGAATGGGACTTCCAGAACACTTAGTTGTACTTACAAGGAACCTGTACATAGACCAGGAGACTGTCATTCGAACAGAACAAGGGGACACTGCCTGGTTAAAAATCAGGAAGGGTGTGCATCAGGGTTGTATCCTTTCACAATACTTATTCAATCTATATGCTAAGCAAATAATCCAAGAAACTGGACTGTATGAAGAAGAACATGGCATCAGGACTAGAGGAAGAATAATTAACAACCTGTGATAATGCTGACGACACAACTTTGCTTGCTGAAAATGAGGATGACTTGAAGCACTTACTGATGAAGATTGAAGACTACAGTCTGCAGTATGGATTACGTCTCAGTATAAAGAAAACAAAAATCCACACAACTGGACCTATAAGCAGCATCAAGATAAATGGAGAGAAGATTAAAGTTGTCAAAGACTTCACATTGCTTGGTTCTATAGTTGACACCAGTGGAAGTATCAGTCAGGACATCAGATGACGTATAGCACTGGGCAAATCGGCTGCAAAATTGACCTCTTTCAAGTGCTAAAGAGCGAAGATGTCTCCTTGAGGACTAAGGTGCACCTGACACAAGCCATGATATTTCCAATCGCCTCATATGCATGTGAGAGCTGGACAATGAATAAGGAAGACCGAAGAAGAGTTGATGCTTTTGAGTTGTGGTGCTGGTGAAGAATGCTGAAAGTACCATGGACTGCTAAAAGAACTAACAGATCTGTCCTGGAGGAAGTGCAGCCAGAATGCTCTTTGGAAGTGAGGATGGCCAGGCTTTGCCTCACCTACTTTGGTCATGTTATCAAAAGGGACCATTCCCTGGAGAAGGATGTCATGCTTGGTAAGGTGGAGGGTCAGTGCAAGAGGGGAAGGCCCTCAACGAGATGGATAAACACAGTGGCTGTGGCGATGGGCTCAAGTGTAGCAAGGATCATGGAGTCGGCGCAGGACCAGGGCGGTATTTTGTTCTGTTGTGCATAGGGTTGCTATGAGTCAGAGATGACTCGATGGTACCTAGCAACAAGAACAACATTTTATATATATGTATATGTAGTATATATATAAATAAACTCTGCTTCAGATGTTTGCTCCTAGGTGATACAGTTAGTTAATCACTTGGCTACTAAGAGAAAGCCTGGCAGTTCAAACGCATCCAGGGGTGCCTTGGAAGAAAGATCTGGTGATCTACTTCCACAAGGTCACAGTCCTGAAAACCCTATGGAGCACAGTTCTACTCTGCAACACATGGGGTCTCCATGAGTTGGGGGCTGACTCAACAGCAGCTAACAACCACCACCAAATGAAAGCCTGATTACATTGGTTTTGCACTGTAAAGAAAAACATACATACTTGAAAACATGGAAAACAAAAAGTAACTGCCAACATTTTACTGTGTCACCAGTATTACAGAAGCATCAAAGTAATTTGACACTCTCTGTACCTGATTCATTAATTAAATCAAACAGCTATTTGTATGACTTGATTATAAAGAATAGTAATGGTTAAACTGCAAGGATAGACACATTTCTTTGTGCAAGAGCAGAGAATTAGAGTGAAATAAAAAACATGTCTCTATTTTGTGTTTCCAGCAACGAAATCTACATTGCTCCTTCAGGAGTGCAAAAGGAACGAATTCAGGTATGATATGGGGATACTTCTTAAACCCACATGTCATTTCTTCTTTACTTAACTATTGTTTTGTGAAATGGAATTAATTTTTAAATATAATTAAAAGAAAATGTTGGCATTGAAGGATAGTTATTTTGTGATAACTTAAATAACTGGTCAGTGAGCACTTAACACACACACACACTGCTGTGAAGTCAGACCCGACTCATAGTGACTCCTCCTTGGGTTTCCAAGGCAGCATCACTATGGAAGTAGATTGCCCAACCTTCCTTCCGAGGAGTGGCTGGTGGGTTTGAACCACCAGCCTTCTGGTTAGCAGTCAAGTGCCTTAGGCACTAC